AGAGAAAAAACTCAGAATGGATATGACGTCACTACTTTCAAGCCATTTAAAGCGGCTCCACACGGAGAAATCCGGAAAGCCAATGAGAATCATCGAACGAAGGAGACCAAAAAAAAAAAACCAAGCCGTCTAGCTATTGGTCAGAGGCTCTGATGACGTTAGGATTTCATCCCAATAGAAGCCCAGCGCGGACTCTCGCAAAACCCCGCCCCCTTTTCTACAAGCCTGTCAAACGACGCGGACCAATGACTGAGGGAGCACGGCTATGAATAGCCAATCCGCGCGTCGTGGGGGACGTGCCCGCAGGGAGATTGAGAAGGCGGAGAGGGGAGGAGGGATTAAAGTCCACCCTCTTTTCTCCCACCGACGAGTCCTTCGGAAGGCGCGAAGCGGGCGGGAACCAATCAGGGCGCGGGGGTGGGGCGGGAGCATTCTAGCAGGTTCCAGAAGGCGGGGTGGGAAATAGGGAAAGGCGGGCGCAGGAAGGAGAAGGAGAGCGAGACGGGAAAAGCTTAAGTAGAGGAGGCGGTGGCGGCACTGAGATTTGCCCGGCGCCATGGAGAAGGTGGGAGAGAGGGGAAGGGCTGCTTTCTAGACGCAAGGGCTCACGGGAAGGTGGAGGTCAATGCGGAGGGGGGTCTTGGGGGGAGATGGTCCTGTACCTTCCGCAAAGGATTCTGGGAAAAGCACGTTGCCCTCCCCCGGAGGGAGAGCACGTCTAAATGGGCCTGCGGGTTCAGAGGATCATGGGAAGTGGGGGAGGCTTGTCCCGAGGATCTAAGCTGCTGAGGGAGGAGGGCTACATGTGTGCAAAGCATTATGGGGAGGGAGAGGGAGGGGGTCAAAGGCTGAGTGGGGGGCAGCCTCGAGGAAAGTAAGGGTGAGCTTGCAGTGCATCATGGGAAGTCGCGGGAGGGGGCCAGCGCTCTCCAACGTGGTGCACTTGGAAGGGTTTGGTTCCCATCATCCCCAGCCAGCACGGCCTACCCGCCTTGTCCAAAGTAACGGGCGTACCTATCATCCCCAGCTCACATGGCCACCCAGCTGTCCACTGTAACGGGCATGAGGGGTTGAAGTTCTCCTCGCTCACAGGCCGGCGGGGCTGGCCTTCTCCAGCCTGGCCGGTGGCAGAGGCCGTGGCCTCCATCCCCGCTGGCTTCCTGGGACGATCCCGGTTTAGTAAGGGTTCTGCTGCAGGGTTAGGGGGCGCAGAGATGTGTGGGTGCGCCCTCTTGAAATCGTTCCTCGGCAGAAACCCTGTCCGGGTTAAAGTTTATAATAATCGGTTTTGAACTTCCTTCTTGATTTGTGCCTATAAGAGCCTGGCAACCACATGTTCAGCCCAGTGTTGAAGTGAGGCACCCTCAGACCCATGCTTTTGTAGACTGGGCGACAGCTCCCATCATCCCCAGCCACCATGTACTCAGACTGAGGGGAGCTGCAAGTCCAGGATACCTGGCTGGGGCAGCTTGCCCAGAAGAGGTGTATGTGAAAGGGTGTCCCTCTGCCACTGATGGGGGGGAGTGTTGACCTGTGATTTTGTGGCTTCTGGACTGAGACCAACCGTGTGAGGAAGATTGATTGTGCCTTGGGGACATTTCAGTCGAAGTGGACGGGTTTGCTCAGACTTTGGCATCTTCTGGAGAGCGGCTGCCTGTTCTGGGATCTGCCTTCCTTGTAGGCACTCTCCTGTGCTTCTAGATAAATGGAATGCTTTAGGAACATTGATCGTATCAGAAGCAGTTTTCTGGGACGTGTCAACATTCACACGTTGGTTCAGCCATAATGTGGCTTGGTTGGTTTGAGCATGCTGATTGAGCCCAGCTATTCTGATGTGTAAAGGCAGATTATGGGCTAGTGCCATTGGGGAAGGAAGGTGCTTTGAATATAAATGCTGCATCTCCAGCAAAGCAGCGGAGGGTGCTCGAACAGAGCTCAGCAAAGCCTTTCAGCTCTTCAAAGCTAAGTTGTTTACGAAGAGAGGGGCCAACCTCAACGTGCATGTTCAGCATCAGTTGAGAAAGACTTTGCTATCGAACTCTCCTGAATAAAGGATCAGGGTGTATTCAGATGTTTGGGGTGCAAAAGGCTGCATTGCATGTTCAGCCTCTGACCTCTCCAGGTTGTGTTTGTGAAGACCCCCTACCCTGGGGAGCTATTTCCAGTCTCTGCAGAGACCTTGATTAAGCTGTCCTGTGATCGAGGGTAGGTTTGCACATCTGGCTAAGTTTAGCTCCGCTTTGGCTTAGCAAATGACACAAATCAAATCATTATAATTTTTGCATCCTGGTTTATGATTTCATGTATGGTGCAAATCCAGGTGTGATTTATTCGGTAAATTATTATTAAACTGTGACTCAGCACACGGTGTGTGAACCAGGCTAATTTAAAACAGCAGGTTGCTCTTTTCAGCAGTGATTCCTCTAAATTCTCTATTGAAGAAGGCCCTTTGCTAAACATGTGAACCTGGAACCTTTGGCACACAAAACGTGTCATCTCCTTTTTGGGTCAAGCATGACTCAAAGCTGGCCCCCTATCTGACTTCCTACCACCAATTAAAACTTTCCTGCCACCATACAAATTGCATTTTTGCCTTGGTGTGAAACTGAACAGAGGAAGCAATTGCCTGGTGAGCTCTGACTTCCAAGCAGAAAAAGGAAAAACAGAACAGGCCTGTCAGGCAGATGGGTGGGCGTCATTGTGTCAAGGTTTATACCATAGCAACCTGGCTGGACTCCAGCTGCATCACTGGGGCTTTGGGCTCTTTTTCCTGCCTGCCTTCATCCCAAATGTGCCAGGGTGATGGGCATCTTTGAGAGAAGGCATCTGACCCTGGACCAGCTTGTATCATTTTGCCCTTCCTCAGTTCCTCGGGGGGGGGGGGATCTTGTTTTCCTGTATAGCTACAGTGCAAAGATAGAGAGCACCCAGAATTCTTAGAGAGAGAGCCTCAGCGACATTTGTCACTGCTGAAAAGGGTGGTTATTCTTGGCATCTGTAATTTCAGCTGCTGGTCCCTATCTGAATGGAGCTGTGACTCAGAGGATGCTACCTCTAGCTTGCTGTTTCTTCTGGGGAGAACTGGGATGTAGTAGGGACCTTGTCCTGTGACTTATGCCACAGTTTGTAGGCTGCAAATACATGTAGACTGCAGATGCTGCGGCCTCAGCTTAGCTTCCTTTGGTTTCCATGAATGGGTGATGGAGGAAAAACTGATACCTGGGTGCAAGTTGGCCCCTCAGTCTCCCTGGCTCTCTTCCTAGAGGGAAGAAGTGAATGTGACTATAGTGGTACAAGGAGTGATAATTTAACACCATCTGAAGGGCTACAGGGTTTTTTCATTCCAGATGTGGAGCCTAGGATGCGTCCTTGGGCCATTTCATAATACAAATTCTGTTTAATGGCTTAAGGAGCCTCGGTCCCCAGTTTGAGTGTCATCTAACCCTAATCACTCTCAGTCTTGGCCCCTATGTTTGTAATCAAGGAATGCTCATAACTAAGTATATTTTTATTAATTGATTTACAATTATTTACATGCTCCTTCCTCACACATATGTGTATGCTGTGCTGGTTTCTGGCCATAATAAACTTTAACTCAGTGTTACATGTGTGCTGTGACCATTAAAGACTTACAGGTGCTATACAGTATGGCAGTGTTTCTCAACGTTGGCCACTTGAAGATGTGTGGACTTCAACTCCCAGAATTCCCCAGCCAGCATGAGAGTTGAAGTCCATACATCTTCAAGTGGCCAAGGTTGAGAAACACTGATGTATAGATATTAAGATGTTGGTTTATTTCATGTGGATCCTACTGTCTTGCAATTTCAGGCATAGGTATCATAAAACTGACAGTTTCCAGCATCTTAAATTTCCTGCACAAGGCTGCTAGGAAGTTTGTACTGAAGGGAGAAGCAGGTCCAGCGTGCAGCAAAATATCTCGCCCAAAGTTTACAACTGGCAACAGTTGTGGAAGAGGACCATCACTTTCCTGTCCCTGCTTCTTGAATGTGTCTTGGTGGCCGTTGGGTGCCTTGAATGTGAACATTTGGCTCGATCCAAGCTCACCTCTGCTCTTACATTCTTAACCTTTGGGAGATGGGGAAGCTATCCGTGTTTAACTTTTTTTTTTTTTTTTGCTCTCCTCTCTTCAGGTGAATGAACTGAAAGAGAAAGGTAACAAGGCCCTCAGCTCTGGCAACACTGCAGAAGCAATCAAGCACTACTCGGAGGCCATGAAATTGGACTCTGCTAACCATGTGCTCTACAGCAATCGGTCTGCTGCTTATGCCAAAAAAGGAGAGTATCTGAAGGCCCTAGAAGATGCTTGTAAAACCATAGAGCTGAAGCCGGAATGGGGCAAGGTGAGAAGAAGGTTGCCAGTAGCTTTTGGAACATCCTCATTTGTTGCTAGGGTAGAGGATGGCTAGTTCCTCCTCGTGATCCTGAAGGCAGGTGCCAAAAATTTGACTGGGTTCCCGCAAACCATAGTTTGCTTGGCCACGATTTATTGAACAAGCAGCCACTGGCTGAACTTGCTGATGCATTTAAGATGTGATCCCCGGTATACAAGTTCTTCTGGGCAGCTTCAGAGCTGCTCCCCTCTTTCTTTCCGTGATTGAACGGGATGTGCCATCGATCCAAGAATTGGATGGACTGTCGAGGGCTCTCTGCTGATCCATCAGAGGACCTCAGATGATGGGAGGAAAGGCGTACAGGACATTTTGCGGTTAAATCTTCCATGCACCTCAATCTGTGGCTGCTGCAAATTCAGATGTGGCATGATTTCCTCTGGCCTATGTACACGGATGTTTTGGGGTTAGCTCATTGTAGAAAGCTTTTTGTGCAAGAGGTCTTGGGTCCAGTCCTTTGCTGTTTTTATGCGCTTGTCAAAATCCTGGAAAACTGTTGTCTAATCACCCTCTGACTCTGCAGCTTTCTTCCCCTTTTGGCAGAAGCTTTGCTGCGTGGTTGCTTGGAAATTCTATATTTATTTATAATTATAAACACATGTTTCTTTCTGACGTCTCATCTTATAATTAAAATCTATACGGGAGTATTATAAAAGAAATGGCAAGTCTTTTTGGTTCCTGTTGGTGAAACAGTTGAGGCTTGGGGTCGTCTTCTTCTAGGAAGAATAGCAGACTGACTCAGGAGCTTGGTCATGCTAAAGACCCAACCAGTCCTTGGACTGTAACATTTGCCAGCCCCTCAGATGGGTAACTCCGGCAGCCTTATTTTTGCTGCCCGCCACCTGCAAAAAAGAAAAAAATGCTTAGCACCTTGAGCACCGCTCAAAATAGGCCAACCGTTTTGTTCCTTCCTCCTCGGGTATCTCTTAGAGGCTGAAAAATATTTCAAAAAGTCAGCGTGTGGGTGTCAGAATCCTCACAATCAGTCAATTGCCCTGCTAGCTTGCTTGCTTCATTTCTGCCATTACAGCGATGGGGAGGAAGGGAGGGAAGGCTGGGAGGTTAACCGTTAGGTGCAGATGGACTATTATCTGGCTCTCAGGAGTGTCCCAGATCGTACCTACGTGAGAACCAGAGGGTATCTTCCACATCCGCAAGAGAGATTCAAAGACAGAAGGAGGGGGAGTGAAATGGGAATGGGGTAAAACTAAGTTTTGGCATGCGCGTGACTCAGTTCCAGCAATGTTCTAGAGCCATTCACTACTTCCCAATAAATGAACTTTTCTTTGAGCCTGCTTTGGTTTCAATGAGAGTTGCTTTCGTTGAGAACTGAGTCCCGCGGTTCTTATAGTGGGTCAGAAGAACAAAAGCTGCCTGTCCTTATTCGGGTCCTAGCCATCTGGACAAGTGACTCCTGCAATTTTGGAGAAATCCAGTGTTGGAGTCTCTGGTTTCTCTGTGGACGAGTCTCCTGCCTCCTCTGATCTGTTCGTGCTTTTTGCAGGGCTATTCCCGAAAAGCAGCTGCCTTGGAATTCCTGAACCGGTTTGAAGAAGCAAAGAAGACGTACGCGGAAGGGCTGAAACACGAGCCTGGCAACGCACAGTTGAAGGAAGGACTGCAAAATATGGAGTCCAGGCTGGCAGGTGAGGAGAGCTGGATCTGGCTGTCTCTCTCTGGCTTATGCTAATGTTACATTTCAATTGCAGCAATAAGGAATATAAATGGGCTGTCTCTTTTAAAAGCAGGAGTGGGAATCCAAACAAGGGGTGTGTAACCTTTCCATGATGAAGGGGTACATTGACCTTTGGCATGTCAGAGGCCCCACTCCTAAAACTGGGTGAGGTCTATGTAAAGCAGCTTGGATTGAATAAAAAATGGATGTGTATCATGGCCACGTGGAGTTCAAAAATCACTATAAAGCACGGAGCTCTTTTTAAGGAGGACTTGGATAGGTTATCACCTCACTTGTCTAACGTTCTCCCCCAAGGGAAGGGATAACGGATAGCTCCTTTCCACACAATGATTCTGTGTAGAAGAAAGCATGGCTGTTGATTAGCAGCTACGTCTAGTTCTCAGCAAATCCGGCATCTTGTGTTGGGAGGCAGGGAAGAGGAAATACGATAGGAGCTATAGAGAGAAACCTTGGAGTTCAGGCAAACGAAAAGGATTTCTTTGGGGGAGGCTTGGAGACGTAATCTGCCTTTGGGTTCTGCTGATAAGATCTTGAATCATTTATTCCTCCCCATATTTAGAGGGTCATAGAGTGGTGCCTGATCCTATCATGATGCTGGCTAAAGAAGGGCATATCTTGCATATCCTTGACCCTTATTGATCATCTTAGTCACAACCTCAGGGCTTGACATTGCCAATTTGGGGCCACCTGTTTCCAGCAAACTTGGGTTTCCTCCCAGATGGGTGAGAAGCTCAACTGAAAATGGCAGGACGTTCGCAGCCTTGCCTGAGGCATTCTTCCAACAGGTTCCTACTAAGGATGCTCATTCCTTTCTCCCTTCTCCCCCTGTCCTCTTTCAGAGCGGAATCTCATGAACCCTTTCAACATGCCTAATCTCTACCAGAAGCTGGAGAGTGACCCGCGCACCAGAAACTTGCTCAGCGATCCAAGTTACAGAGAGCTGATTGAACAACTCCGCAACAAGCCATCGGAGCTGGGAACGTGAGTGTTGGTTTTGCAGGAGGAGAGAGAGGGGGTCCTGATTCCCACAGCCAAAGTAGCCCCTTTCTCAATCAGAGCCTGAGTCCCCTAGCCCAGGAATCTGTCTGCAATCGCTCAGGGTCTTTGTGCTTTCACGCAGCAACTCGGACCGTGCGTCACGCAAAGGCATCGTTTCATGAACGGTAGTTTTGCAGAACCTGTCGCTATTGGCTGGGCTCACCAATTTGTGCTAAGCCAAAACTAAAGAAGTTACCGCGTGGCTTATCGTGACAGGCTCAATGTAGAGAGTAAGGAGGATGGCCTTGAGGGGGGAGAATGCTCACCAAAGAGATGAGAAGGAAATTAGAGATGAAGTCCAACATACGCAGAACGTGTGCCCAGACGTTTCAGACAGTCGCTTCCTTAATGCCTGTGATTGTAAAAGAGAAAGAGAAGCAAAATCAGACTTGCAAGATTATGCTACTATAGCCCAGTGTTTCTCAACCTTGGCAGCTTTCAGAGGTGTGGAGTTGCTGGCTGGGGAATTCTAGGAGGTGAAGTCCACACTTGTGAAAGCTGCCATGGTTGAGAAACATTGTTATAACCTATATAAATAAATGTAGTTTTGACTCTTCTGTGGAGTTTATTTGTTGGTCTGATCTGCCTCTTAGGTCTGGTGCCCAGTCAAACTGTTGGAGAGTTTGGAACCTTTTGGAAGTGTAGGGTTAATTGGAAATTGCCCCACACCATAATATCTTGGCTTCTGGTTGAGCATGCACATACATGATTTATAAACGAATTCCTTGTATCAACCTAGCTAGTATTTGCCTATTCAGTAAACCATGGTTAAACCTTGGTTTTGTGCACTAGGTCAGCCTACCAAAAACATGTTCAGGGGGACCTTGTTTATCTGGCAAAATCAGGAGCTGGTTCTGAAGTGTTCAGGTTGGGCTTCTCACCCGCTTGTCCCCCTGCTGTGTAACAGAAAACTGAAGGACCCCCGGGTGATGACAACTCTTGGAGTGCTCCTCGGAGTCGACTTAGCCAGTGCCGATGACGAGGATGAAGCCATGTCTCCCCCGCCTCCTCCACCCCCCAAGAAAGAGCCCAAGGCAGAACCCATGGAGGAAGATCTGCCAGAAAACAAGAAGCAGGTATTGGCCTCTGGCCTTGGTGTGGAGACCACAGGCCCTGCAGATGGAGGCTGTGATGGATTTCATTGGTCAGTCAGAAGGAAGCAACCTTGTCCACTGCAAATGCTCTCAGCTACACCTTCTGTAACCTCTGAACATTATTTATGGCAGTTGAGTTTTAGAATGTAAATCACCAAGAGTCTCTGGCAGATTTGGATGGATGGATGAATGAACAAATGAAGGGAGGGAGGGAGGGAGGGAAGGAAGGAAGGAAGGAAGGAAG